CACACACCGAGAGACAGTCAGGAGTCGTTGGCTTGTTTCGCGCAAGCGGAGTCGCGTCCTCTTTGCCGAGGCCCCGCGCACAGACCTCAGGGGGCTCTCACCTCTCCCGGCCCCGAGAACAATGCCCGTCCTCTCCGCGCGCAGGAGGGAGTTGGCAGACCACGCGGGGTCGGGGCGGCGGAGCCGGCCGAGCCCCGCGGCCGGGTCGGGGCCCTACTTCTTAGCTTCGAGCGCCTCTCTGACCCGGGCCGCACACCTATCAGGTCGGGGGACGTACGTGCGCCGCGACACGGCGGGAGGCGGGCCGCACCGCGCCCGTTCCGTCGGCCCTCCCGGAACTAGTCTCCGTGGCCGCCGCGCCCACGGGAGCGGAGAGCGCTGGTGCCCCGGAGCCTTCGAGTCGGGGGCTAGAGCGGCCAGGCCGCCGAGCCGGGTCGAGCCCGGGAAGGCGACGGCTGCGTCACGCGAGGGGGCGGGGCCGCCACGGGCGGAGGTCGGAGCCGGAAGCGGAAGAGGCGCTCGGAGCGGGGAGTGGGGCCTAGCAGCAGCTGGAGCCTGGGAGACGGTAAGTGTGGGCTGGGGCCCGCGGCGGCAACAGCGGCGGCGGCGGCTGGGGGTGAGTCGGCGGGGGCGGTCGCGCTGGTGCCATTCGGTCTCGGCCTACTCCCTTTCTTTCTCCTCTTCGGCCCACCTCGGGCCGCGGCCCCGACCTCTCACCCCTGACCCGCTGCTTCTCCACCGGAGGGCGGTCACTGCAGACCCTGACCTGGATCCCGCGGCGTTGAAGGCGGGGCCTAAACGGCCTCTGAGGCTCCTTGAGGGTTCAGTTTGGGCCCTGCGCCTGCCCGCGGAATGGGGTCGGGGTCCGACGTGGAATAGCCACAGAGGCCCTTCAGACCCCTCCTCTCCCTTGGTTTCACGCTTGGTCTTCAGACGACTCCTCCCTTGGCGGCCTGGAGTTTGACTCTGGCCCATTCTGGCCCTCCCTCTGCCCCCGGGTCTGTCCCCGGCTCTCCCCTCGGCGCCACTGGTGGCCGTTACAGAGGGTGGGACTCTGAGACCCCTGGGACCTGGGGCGGCAGGAAGGGAAGCGAAGGAGGGCGCAGCCCCCCCTGCGTGTTTTGTTGTGATGGAGCCGTTCCAGCCCGGGGGATCGGCAAGGCCAAGCTGACAGTACAAATGCCTTGGCTGCAGCTCCGTCCCGCCCGGGAGTCTCTGGCTTTAGTTCCGGGTATGAGTGCCCTGATGTGGAGCTGGGGTGGAAATTGCCTGAGCCAGGCCCCCATCGAGGCGGAGCTGGCGGCCTTCCAGCTTCCCTCCTTGATGCCCTTGAAAAGGAGGAGCGTTTCACCCGTTCGTGGTGGAGGCTTGCGAGGTGGCATGTTTGAGGTTGCAGTGGTAGGGCAGTGCCAGCCAAAAATAACCATGGGTGCTAGGGTGGCTGGAATCCGGGAGGGCAGCCGCTGACCTGGCTGGCTGCTCTTCTTGTCAGCCCAGTTCTCTGGCCAGGAACAGCAAATGAGAAGCTGACAAGGCCTGTGCTCAAAGAAAAGTTGACATCCTTGGCTTGGTTTCCTTTGCATCACCTTTTTCTTCATTCTGCAGAGCAGAGCTCCCCAAAGCATAATTGTGGCCTTTAGCTGCTTTTTAAACAAGCTTTTTGCTGAGGTTTTAGAGAATCAGAGATAATTGAGAAATGGGCCCTAAAGCCCTGGCTGGGAGGATGACATCTGCTATTTCCAATATTTTACTTGCCTAGAATGTGTTAAAGAAAGAATAATCTTCTCTATTATTGCATTGTGTGTGGTACCTTATAATTCTCATACTTGTCATCTTTTGCCAGGCTGGGAGATGTTATCTCCATTTTCCAGGCATTCTAACTGAGGCCTAGAGTGACTTGTCTAAGGTCATGAGGCTGGTATGTGGCAGCACTAGGTTTTAGTTCAGAGTTTATTGCCAGAGCTCTCTCCTCCCGGTTTCCTTGGAAGGGACTTATAAAATGTCCGTAAGGCATTTAACACAGCCCTGAAGTGTTACTCGGAACCTTTTAAGTGTTCATGAAAAGCTGCCACTAGTACCTCTGTGGGCATAAAGGTGTACTAGGCATTTCACTTATAGGACAGACATATTTAATCCTCACAGAACCTTGTAAGAGATTACTGATTCCTTGTTGCCAGAGGAAGCTGATGGTCAGAGTAGTGTAACAATTTGCTGAAAGGCACACAGCTGGAAGTGGCATGCCATGATTCAGGTGGACATCTATATGACTCTGAAATTGTGCTCTCCATTGACGTGAATATGTATAGACATTAGAACTTTCTAGGTCCCAGGAGGGAATCTTTGGCCCAGTGTGACCGTGACCATGTCCTTCAGCTCTGGTGTCTGCCCATTGAGGATGGGCAGGACCATGCTTGCCTTGTGGCAGGACATGTGTCCTGGCCAGTGGAGCATCCTCTGAGTCAATTAGTGAGATGTGAGTTAAGCTTTCATTCCATAGCTTGGGCACCTGACCCAGAGTAATTGCAGGAAAACAGTGAAACATTAGTCAGCTGATTACCAAAACAACAAATCTGAGCTTCTGGGGAGGTGATTTTAGCTCCAAAGACTTCCCAGGTAGATGGGGAAGATATGTTGGTGGGGAGATGGAGAGCTTTCTTAGGGAGATGGAGAAGCTCCCGGTAGTTTGGTACAATAGGCCTCACCGTCCTGCTCATCCATGGGGAACTGTTCCATGCTGCTCTTCTCCTGACAGATCCCGCTGGTGAGATAGGGTAGCCTCAGTGAATTTGTATAAAATGTGCTTGACCAGGCAAACTCAGGATTGACCATGATTGGAGGTTGGCAATGGCAAAGTGTGAGTGTTGGGAAGAAGATTGGCCCCATGGAGGCAGTCAGGGGTTCACATATGGGTGGAGCAGGTTGCTGGCCTCACATAGCCAGCTTTCTCTGCTGGTGGCGGATCCAGCCTGGCAATTTCCTATGGTGAATATGAGTCCTCACTGAACAGGGATAGTGAGTTGGGGCTCTTTTGCCTGCCAGACAGCTAACCCTCTGGCTGCTCCTGGGATAGGTGTAAAGTAGGATACTGGAGCCGGGGAGCTAGAAGAAGGGACAGTAATGGTACTGTTGGATAAAGGCAAAACACCTGGCAGGGCACTGCCAGAGTCAAAAGGGTGCTAAATGGCTCTCTGGCAAGAAAGTTGCATACTCTGAGGACCCTGGCATCCTTCCCAGTGCTGAGACCCATGATGAGCCAGGAAGGGCCGGACAGACCCCCTGGGTCCACGTCGACTCAGGAAGGCTAGGGAATGTTCATGAGGCCTGTGTGCCTCTTTCTTCAAGGGCTGCTCTTCCCATCTCTGCTGTGGTTCCTCACATTGGCTTGTGGTCCTTACTCCCTTGAGTGGGGTCCAGTTCAGGCCCTCAGCCAGACAGTCTTCAGCTTCTCAAACCTGAGGGCTTTGAGCCCTTGCCTCCCGGTGTTGGCTCCATGCCAACAGCCCTTTGCCTGTCCTCTGGCTTTACAAAGCATGCCCTCCACGGGATCCCCCAGGCGGGAGGGAATAGAACCCAGGAGGCCCCCTTTCTTCTGCCTTTGATCTCCCTGTGGCAGTGTTCACTGTCCAGCCCAGGGTTCCTGCCTTAGCCCCTGGCCCTGGCTCACCCAGTTCCCTGAGCACTCAGACCACCAGGCCAGTGATGCTCTGCTGGGAGGCAGCTGTTTGTTTGTTCACTGGCAGAGAAGGTTGCTGCCCATTGTCTGCTGTTTGACCAGTGTGACCTCAAGAGTTCTTCTTCACTTCATAAACCCCTGGGAGGGGCTGCCTCCAGACAGAACAATGGGCCTCTTCAGGAGCAACCGGGAAGCCCCATGCAGCCCCGTGGCTGGAGGTGGCTGGCTGTGTGTTTAGCAGGGCCTTCTGTTCCTTGCGGCCTAGATGCATCACTGTAAGCGATACCGCTCCCCTGAACCAGACCCGTACCTGAGCTACCGATGGAAGAGGAGGAGGTCCTACAGTCGGGAACATGAAGGGAGACTGCGATACCCATCCCGAAGGGAGCCTCCCCCACGGAGATCTCGGTCTAGAAGGTGAGAAGGAACTAGATAGGAGGGAAAGGCTCCTTCTGTCAGCTGGACTCAGCTGTGGCAGCTCCAGACTCCTTGAGATGACTCCACCCCAGCCCAGCTGCTCCTGGATCCCTGCCCTGTCCTCTTTGCGCTCCTCCCCTAACCTCACCTGCATGCCTTGGCCTCATCAGTAGCTACCATCTTTGCCGCCCACTCTTTGTCTTAGAGTGCCTTTTTTTCTTCTCCCCACATGTTCCCCCATTTTCTAGGCCAGCATCTTTCCTGCTTAACCTCCTAAGCCTTCTTTGGTGAGGATTAGGAACATAACCTCAGCCTTGGAAAGGTTGTTCCCTGGGCCTATCTCAGCCCCTAGTCCAAACTTAGAGTTGCAGCCGGCCAGGGAGAACTCTGGAGTATGTGGAAACCTCGGAGGCCCTCTGCCCTTCTCCCCTTCCCCTGTCCCCTCCTCCTGTGGCTGGAGGATGCTGCCGTTGGGCAGGGCTCTGGAGGGCAGGCTTAGTACCTTTGCACCCTCCCCTCTCTGCCCACTTCCCACCAGTCTGGATGCTTTTGGCACATCCTGTCCCCTTGAGCCCTTTACAGTGGCCCTGCCACAGGCTTCTTGCCTGCTAACAACAAGGACCCAGCTGACCAGTGTCCCCATCCCCCTTTTGGCAGCCATGACCGCCTGCCCTACCAGAGGAGGTACCGGGAGCACCGTGACAGCGATACATACCGGTGTGAAGAGCGGAGCCCATCCTTTGGAGAGGACTACTATGGATCTTCACGTTCTCGTCATCGTCGGCGATCGCGGGAGAGGGGGCCATACCGGACCCGCAAGCACGCCCACCACTGCCACAAACGCCGCACCAGGTCTTGTAGCAGCGCCTCCTCGGTGAGTGGTAGCCAGAGTGTGCTGGCTGGGGCTTAAAGGCCTCATCTCTTCCTAGCCTTCTCTCAGGCTGGTTGGTCTGGGTGAGTACTGCCAGCCCTGTGCACGTGCACTGGTGTGCGTGCTTGTGTGTGTGTATGTGTCGTCTGGTCCAGGTGCAGGGCCGATCACAGGGGTCCTGGCCCCTGTGTCTTCTGGCCCCTTCCAGTGGCAACTCTAGGAACTCTGGCTCCGATGCTGGCTGGCCCCCGGCCAGTCTCTGTCTACACAGTGCTACAGATACAGGCCACGTGGTGCAAGTGGCCAGGGACACTTCTTAGGGATCCTAGTAGAGTGGCTGGTATTGTGGTCTGCAGCTATATGGCCTGGTCCTTCCCACCCAGAGACGGCCTCTTTGTGTGACCGAGTGCTCTGACTGACGTGGACTGCGCCCACCTCTGCGTCTCATCTGCACACCCCTCCCCAAACGCCCCCAGTCTGGAGTGCCCCACAGGCGGGGAGGATTTGCCTGTCAGCCAGCTCAGACTGGGAACTTCCCTTCTAATCTCCAGCTAGGCCCCCTCCAACCGAGCCTCTTTATGAGGGGCACTTGCGGCGAGGAGGGGCAGCTGCGGCGAGGAGGGGTGACTGCCTGTGTGATGGGGCATGTGAAGAAATGGTGGAAAGGCCGCCGCCCCAGGCCTTGTCCAGTTGCAGGCCACATGCTGAGAGCAGGACCTGGCTGGTATTCCTAGCACAGAGGGTTGCAAGGTCTCTGCTGAGACCAGGAGCCCACGCTGCATTCAGTACCCTGGGGAAGGAAAGCCCATTGTGTATTTCTGAGGTTACATGCGGTCTTCTCTTCTCCCCCGATCCCTCTTCCCTGCCTCCCTCCTACCGGCCTTGAGGCCCCTGAGGAGCGGTGGAGAGGCCAGGCATCTTCTCTGCCCAGCTCTTTCTGTGACTTCTTTGAGTGGCCACGTGTTGAGGGTTGACTCTGCGGGCGATTGCAGTGTGGCCCTTTGGCCTCTCTGCACGCTGCCACATGCTGCCACAGGATGGCAGTGCAGGTTTGGCTCTGCTTCTCTTTTTGGTGCCCTCTATCGATCGTCGTGAGGCTTGGGATGGGCCTAGATTGTGAGCAGCATGGGCGCCAAGGCCAGGGCAGGAGCTGGCATGGGGCCTGTGTGGGCCATTGTGGTAGGAAGCCTGGCAGTCGACCTACCCAGAGGATCCCAGGCTGCTTTCCTGCTTGAGGCTGGTGGCAGGAAGGCTGCTGTTGGAAGGCTGTTTCTGGTAGTGCTGGTGAAGTCTGGCCAAGGATGCCGTCTGGGGGCAGGTAGCAGCTTGGCTCTGAGTGGCAACTGTCAGGCATATGCAAGGCTGCGTGGGCGAACAGAGGCAGGCAAGGACAGGCTGGGCATTCTGCAGCTGAAGCCGGAGCAGCCTCTGACCAGTCTGGATGGTTGGACCCAGGCGGGGCCAGCTGCCTTCTTGCGCCGTTTTCACTGCGTCTTCTGCTCTGGCCAAAGCCACATGGGGGGGCCTGGGAGGGAGAGACTCAGAGGAGGAGGAGGGAGTCGGGGCGATGGCTCTCCTCACAGCGCGGCCCTCAGCAGCAGAGGCAGGTCATCTTCCTGAGCGTTCGTGGCACTCCTCGTAGAGATAATATCCGAGTTTTCTTTACATACCTGTAGCTGTTTTTACTTTTCTGTTTTTGAAGTCAGTTTGTGTCTTGACGTGTCCCTTGCAATATCCCTATCGTTATATATGCTGTGTGCCTTATGAAATGCTGGGATCTGGAAAATCCAACCAACCAACCCACCGGCTCCTCACCGTCTCCACCTCTGCCTTTGACTGACACCTCAATCTGTCAATCGGAACCGCCTACCATGCGATTGGTCGGATGGCGTTTCGGGGGGCGGTGCATGCAGAGAAGCCAACAGAGCAGTAAGCGCAGCAGCCGGAGTGTGGAAGATGACAAGGAGGGTCACCTGGTGTGCCGGATCGGCGATTGGCTCCAAGAGCGATGTACAGCCACCTTTCGTAAAACTTTACCTCTCTACTTTCTACCCCCCTTGTTAGACAAGACCTCTCCTGCCTGGAGGGGCCTCTAGTGCGCGTGGTGCCTTAGCGGGGCCACCAGTAATTGCCTGAATGACACAGACGCTAGCAACTTCCATTTTTAAGAGTGTAGCAGTGAGAGAGAAACCTTTTTTGTTTTTGAGAATTTGAATGCTGTGAACTTGCAGGAGCTGCCAACCCCCTGCCCTCCAGATTCTCATGCTCAATTTCTTTTCTCTCCTAGATGAGATTGTGGGGAACCTGGGTGAAGGCACCTTTGGCAAGGTGGTGGAGTGCTTGGACCATGCCAGGTGAGTGAACTGGGGCAGTACAGCTGACTTTGGATAGGACCTTCCTGGGAAGAGCTGGCCTGAGGTTCTTGAGGGTGGTGGCTATTAGAGCTTAACTTTTTTCTTTCTGAAGGGTGGCACCAGAGTAGGGTTCTGACCTGTCCATGTTGGGGTTTTGCTGATCCCCTGTAATAAGGGAGAAATTCTTGGGTTCTGCAGGTATGTAGCATTCCTACCTCAGAATTGCTGGTCAGCGAATGGTTCTGCCCCAGTCCCTCCACTTATTCAGGGCTGTGGTGGTGGATATCAGGACAGGGCCAAGGCCCTGGTTCCCGTGGCTTGGAGCTGCTTCCTGTGATAACTTTTAGGTTCTTGGCCTGGCAGGGGGCTAGGAGTGCCACTAAGCCCAGCCCAAGCATGAATCCCATCCCGAGGGTCTGCCTGAGAGGCTGTGCAGATCTGTCGAAAGAAAAACAAGAGCCTGGGCTTTCTCACCAAGCAGGCTGCTGCCTTCTCCATTGTGGCTAGGGTAGTGTGTGGTCTCCGCTGTGTGTGCCAGGAGAGGGGTATACACTGTCGTGCTGCCGGGGCACCTCACTCTCTCCCAGGTTCAGTAGCACAATAGTTTTGTCCCCTTACCATTCCACAAGACTAGAACTTGCCCTTTTGCTTCCTCCCCTGTAGCTCTGGGGTGGGGAGGCCCCCTCCAGGGAGCCAGTTGCCTCCCTGCCGTAGGCCCTTTAATTGGTTTGGCACTTTAGCTACAGAGTACCCGTGTCTTCATTGTAGCCATGTGCCACCCATATTTGGCCTTCCTGCTATTTCAGAGATGAATAAACATTCTCAGGGTTTGGCCACATCATACTCCAATTAATGGCAGAGCTGGCCACCGCTGCCCCATGGTGCTCCCACATTAAATGGAGTGCTCAGGAAGGCCATTCAGACCCAGGCGTCCAGCCTTCCCCTCAGCCATGAGATAGACTGACAGGAAGCTTCCATTTGCTCCACGTTTCCATGTAAACGGCTGTACGACTCAGTGTGGCCCAAGAGGTTAGGGTTGGGACCAGCAGGTGGAGGGACAGGTACAGCCACACCATGGCCAGGTGGAGGCATGGCAGACTTGAGAGCTGGGACACATGCAGGCGGTCTGGGCTGCTCCTCTCTGAGGAGCTGGAGGGAACATGAGCCTCTGGAGTCATGAGGGGGCAGGTGGACAATCCAGGGAACCTTTACGGGACTCAAAGGGAGCCAGGGCCAGTGGGGTTTGTCATGTGGAGGCAGAATTCAGCTCAGCTAAAGGCAGGGTCATATTCTCAGAGCCATGCAACTCTGGCAGGGGCTGCCTTGGAAGTGATGAGTTCCCTGTGCTGAGGATCGGAATGCCACAGAGGCAGCTTTTAGGAGGAGGCTGGAGTGCATGGCCTTTCCCTTGAGTTCCCTTCCTTCCCTGAGAATCTGGGAAAATGGGATAGGGAGAGAAAAGCAGGGGATTTTCTGGAAGGTCCCTTTGCTCTGGGCCTGTGAACCTTTTCTTAGGCACCACAGTCAGCCTCCCCCTGAGGCCTCAGAGGACACGCCCTTCCAGGCTAGGGCTCTCTCACCCCAGTTCTCCACTGGGCATCTGGATTCTAGCTGTCCTTTCCTGACAGGGCCTGGCAGCCTTGCCTCAGCAGGTTTCCTTCTCTGCTGGCTCTCTGCAGATGGCCTCCTGGGGCAGGGTTCGGGGTGGGAAGCACAGAGCAGGTACTGTTAAAATCTTCTTTGGACACTTAAGAAGGGTTCCTGGCATTTTGTGGTCACTGATAAACGCTGCGGCAGGCAGGTGCAACTGGAGAGGGGTGTGATAAGGGAGTGGCCCTGAGCCTCACAGTGAGAGGTACCCTTGCTGGTACCCCACCTCTTGCCAGATCTTTACTCGATCCTGGAACCCTCTATCCCTGTTTGCTCAGACTTGCAGACAAGCCCAGGAAGGTCAAGAGGTGCCGCAGGAGGGCTCTGGGTGGGACAGCTTGGCCATGGTTGGGGCTGCCTGTCTTACAGGTTAGGTCACTGTGTGAGCTCCTGGGCTGGCACTGGTTAAGCAGGATTGGCCTTTACTCTCCCACACTCGTTTGGGAGCTGGCAGTGGCTGAGAACATAAAAGCCTAAGGCTGGCATGGATATCAAGAACATTAGCTCACAGATGCCAGGGAACTTGCTGTTGGGTGGGCAAAGGTCTGGTGTTGCATGGGGCAGGCTGGGCATCAGTATCTGCTCTCTTCAGTGCAGGCTGCTCCTGGAGAGGTGTTTGTTGGGAGTTGCCAGGTCCGGGTGGAGGGTGGGGGAAGGGCTGGGCAGCTGCTGATGAGAACCTGTGTTTCCTTCCTGGGTACCAGAGGGAAGTCTCAGGTTGCCCTGAAGATCATCCGCAACGTGGGCAAGTACCGGGAAGCTGCCCGGCTAGAAATCAACGTGCTCAAAAAAATCAAGGAGAAGGACAAAGAAAACAAGTTGTGAGTGTCTGCAAGGAGTGAGAGGGAAGCCTTGAGTGGGACTGCCGGACCCCCAGGGGCTCAGCAGTGTCCCTTTACCCGTCTGCACTGTGCTTTCTCCCCACACTCAAGCCAGGGGAGTCTGGCAAAGGTCTTGGTGGAAGCCTCTGGACTGCAGTCCAGGCTCCACCCCAGCTGGCTCTGTGTCCTGAGGCAGGCCCCGCCAGCCCTGCATTTGTGAATTGGGGACCTCACTGGGTTGTGTGGGGCATAAGACAAGATAAAAACATGAAGCTATTTGGGGCCCTCACATAGTAGGAGACACCCAAAGGAGAGCCTTTCTGTGGCAGACACACGGAGCACTCTCCTCCACGCTCTGTGCTGAGCCTGGGCAGGTGGGTGAATCCAGCACAGACCCTCACAAAATTCAGCAGAGTGGGCAAGTCGAGAAAAGCAGCACCAGTCCTGCGGCATGCACCAGCACTTCCCGTCTCTTCCTCAGCAACTCTGAGGCAGGGCCTCTCCCACATCATAAGTAGAGGAGCTCAGAGGTCTTGGACCAGAACCGTGGACATCTTCCCCGCAGGAAGCTTAGTCCTGCCCAGAGCTCATCTGGGGATTGGGTGATGGCTGGTGGGAGAGGTGCTCTTGCTCTGATTCTCTTGCTTCGTGTGTACCTGCGTTCTTGTGTGTGACCCAGTGGCCTAGGAGAGAGTTGGGGACTGGCTTCATCTGAGAGGGGGTGAGGCAGGCCCCCAGCACACAGCCTGAGCCCCGACCATGCTTCTCCGCCAGCCTGTGCGTCTTGATGTCTGACTGGTTCAACTTCCATGGTCACATGTGCATCGCCTTTGAGCTCCTGGGCAAGAACACCTTTGAGTTCCTGAAGGAGAATAACTTCCAGCCTTACCCCCTACCACATGTCCGGCACATGGCCTACCAGCTCTGCCACGCCCTTAGATGTAAGTGTCCACCCTTGAAAGGAGCATGGGGCGGCCACACGCTGAAACCCAAGTCATCTGGTTACTTGCTGTCCCCATTCATTCCAGCACATTACTAACCATTCTCCTGGGCCTGAGGGACACCAGAGCCCCTTTGATGGAAAGGCCTTCTGTCTTAAGGTGGGAATCTCAGTGTGAGGATGGAAAGGTTAAGGCTCCCTCCAGGGACTTCCTGGACCAGCCTCTCCCCCAGGCACTCAGGAATTAAACAGAAAAGAACTGCTCTGGAATTGGCCTGACCACCAACCCTGACTCCCCGCTTCATACATGGGATAAAAATGTACAAGCCTAGGCCGGGTGCGGTGGCTCACGCCTGTAATCCCAGCACTTTGGGAGGCCAAGGCAGGCGGATCAACTGAGGTCGGGAGTTCAAGACCACCCTGACCAACATGGAGAAACCCAGTCCCTACTAAAAATACAAAATTAGCTGGGCATGGTGGTGCATGCCTGTAATCCCAGCTGCTTGGGAGACTGAGGCAGGAGAGTCGCTTGAACCTGGGAGGCAGAGGTTGCGGTAAGCCTTCATGCCATTGTACTCCAGCCTGGGCAACGAGAGCGAAACTCCAGATCCCACCACAGGTCCTTGCCCACACGGAGACCCTCTGTTTAGCTCTGACTCGTCATCTGCCTGCCAGCCTTGAAAAGCATGATTTGGTGGTGCCAGGGCTCAGTGCTGTAGGATTTGCAATGGCTGGAGCAGTATAGAAAGGCTCTTTGGTGAAGTTGATAGACCTTGAGCTAGAATGTGCAGGATCTGCATAGATGGGACAGGGACAAGCATTCCAAACAAGGGGAACAGCTTGGTAAGGCCTGGAGCCTGGTATGGGCTGAGAATTGGTTCCAGTGAAGTAGGCTCCCCTTGGGGAGCGGTGGGCCACACAGTTGTGAGGGTCTTGAGTGCCAGATGGGAGCCTTGAGCTGAAGTGACTACTAGCAGGAAGCCACTGTCATTGGGACAGGGGCTGGAGGGGAAAGGCTTCCTACTTCATGACTAGCGATGAGAGGCAGGGCTGGCTTCCTGGGTGTGTGACCTGTGCACTCAGTTGCACGAGAGCCCGTGCTTTAATGCCCTCTTGCTACCACTGTAACATGCTTAGTAACTTGAACAAGGACGTGCATGTTATGTAGCTGGTGCTGGGAAGAGGGAAGCACCTCGAGGCTGTTGCTGCAGCTTTGGTGAGAGACAGGTGTGGAGGCCTGGTCTCTGCATGGGAGAGGCGGAGGGAGGTTTTTCCAAATGGCAAGTTTCTTTTCCACCCCCCCCTGCTAAAGTATCAGAACCCCCCAAGGCCTCAAGTACAGAGAACCCTTGAGAGGGAGGCCGGCATAGAGGCAGGTTGCAGTCCAGCTCCCTGCTGAGGTGGGGTTGTGAGGAGCTCTGGCAGTTGCTGGCATTGGAGAAGGGTTCTGGCCTAGAGCTGGCAGGAGAGCCAGGTTCTCAGTGCCCACTTCTCGTTCTTTCCCTGCTCTCTTAGTTCTGCATGAGAATCAGCTGACCCACACAGACTTGAAGCCAGAGAACATCCTGTTTGTGAATTCTGAGTTTGAAACCCTCTACAATGAGCACAAGGTATTGGCATGGGTAAGGGTGAGGCCCTGCTCCGGGGGTGGGTTACCCGCTGGTACAGACTCCTGACCTAGTGTGCCTGCCTTGCCTTTCAGAGCTGTGAGGAGAAGTCAGTGAAGAACACCAGCATTCGAGTGGCTGACTTTGGCAGTGCCACCTTTGACCATGAACATCACACAACCATCGTGGCCACCCGTCACTATCGCCCGCCTGAGGTGATCCTTGGTGAGTGACTGTATGGCCTGTGACCTTGTCACACTGGACTTGTTGGAAGGGTATGAACAGAGGCGGTGGCATGCCTATCAGTCTCTGCCACCCAGGGCAGGCAGAGTTTCTCAGATCAAGGGGCCCATGTCATGAGACACAGGTGACTGACCTGGCCTTATCTGTCAGCCTTACTGAGAGAGGGCCTTCCTTATACTGGGATTTGGGCAAGAGTCCTGCCAGCCAGTGTGGTGGTTGCCCTGTGACCTCCAGGCTGGAAGGACAGGGCCGGATCTCACAGCCTCTCCCCATCTTGGCTTTCAGAGCTGGGCTGGGCACAGCCCTGTGACGTCTGGAGCATCGGCTGCATTCTCTTTGAGTATTACCGGGGCTTCACACTCTTTCAGGTACAGCTACCCCACGTCACTCCCCTACCCTAAGCACTGCTACTGTGACAGGCTGCAGGCCACTGGGGTGGGAAGCCCCATGTGGATGAGAAGACAGGTGTCTTCCTCCTCCCACTGGTCATGTTGTGAGATTCAGACTCTTAAGGATGTAGATGCTAAAGGGTATGCAGAGGTCAGGGTAGGTGGAACATTCAGAGAGGAGTCTTGTGCTAGGCCATCGAGGATGGAGGATGGGGCAGAAGGTGACCTGACCTTCTAGATAAGGGGCACAGATGAATTAAAGGCATTGGGATGGGCTAGGACAGGGCGTGGGCTGCCAGGCTGCCGTTTCATTGGTAGGTTTGCATCTCCTGGGGCAGTGAGGGCACTTGCCCATCTCTCCTGTTCCTTATTCCCCGTGAGGGGGCCAGAACTAGGACTGACCCTACTTGCACTGTCTAATCTTCCACAGACCCACGAAAACCGAGAGCACCTGGTGATGATGGAGAAGATCCTAGGGCCCATCCCATCACACATGATCCACCGTACCAGGTAAGGACCCCAGTAGCCCCCTCGGGGTTGGCATAGGGGCCTTTTCTCTTTTGGCTGTGGGTCAGCAGGGTACTAGATGTGGTGAGTCTTTGAGGGACAATCCATGGCTCCCCAGGCTCCTAAAAGCCTTCCCTGTGTGCCCCTGCAAACCTGTTGCCCTGATTCTGCTGCTGTGTTGGGAGCTGCTCTTCCCCACCCCCCACCAGAGGCTTGTCCTGTTACGACTCTCACCACTTGACCCCACCACCTTAATTTTCAGGAAGCAGAAATATTTCTACAAAGGGGGCCTAGTTTGGGATGAGAACAGCTCTGACGGCCGGTATGTGAAGGAGAACTGCAAACCTCTGAAGGNAATGGATTCTCACTCTGTGGTCCAGGGTGGATTGCAGTGCAACCTCCGACTCCCAGGTTTAAGTGATTCTCATGCCTCAGCCTCCTGAGTAGCTGGGATTACAGGCTTACACCACCATGTCCAGCTAATTTTTGTATTATTAGTGGAGACGGGGTTTCATCATGTTGACTAGGGTGGTTTCAAACTCCTGGCCTCAGGTGATCTGCCTGCCTTGGCATCCCAAAGCACTGGAATTATAGGTATGAGCAACCACATCTGACTGCTTTATTCTTTATTAGTGAGTTTCTTTAGCTTTGTCAGAGTTTATTTTGTAATTCTTTTTAAGAATTGTTGACTTGAATCCTTAGTTCATTCATTTATATTTTTTCTTGTTCTTCTTGGTTCAAGACTAAAAATGTATCTGAATATCATTTTGCTGCATTCCATACGTTGTGATATATAATGTCTTCACTATAATTTGTTTCTAAAACATTTACATTTAAAATTTTTATTTCTTTTTAAATTCAGGCATTATATGCCAGTGTATGGTTTATTGTTTTATTATTTGTTTTCAATTTTACACTAGATAGTTTATTTACTCTCTTCTTTTTATTTAATTTCTAATTTCTTATGTGTCTTTGAACATGGTTACATTTTATTAATGTTTTTTGCATGTTAGAGCATAATGTACATTCATAATGTATTCAAAGTAATAGATCTTTATCAAATTATTCTGATTACCTATGTTATTCACTTCTACTGCCTTGATTATTTTTGTCCGTTTATCATTTTCTTTAAAAAACTCCAACTATGACTATAGAGTTCTTATTTTCTTAACATAAATTTTGTACTTTAATTTTTAATATATTAATAAAATTAAAACTTATGGTAGTTTTATAGCTTTGATTCACAAGGTATATTCTGACAAGATAATACATACATCCAAAGAACAGAGTTGAGATCTGACACCAGTCAGATCACACATGATCCACCGTACCAGGAAGCAGAAATATTTCTACAAAGGGGGCCTAGTTTGGGATGAGAACAGCTCTGACGGCCGGTATGTGAAGGAGAACTGCAAACCTCTGAAGGTCAGTTTCTGGCTTCCCCAGCTCAACTCATCCCAAGGAGAGACCCCAGGCACTGGGCAGACATACATCAGACAGGCCAGGCCGCTAAAGGCTGCCTCCTCGATCCAGCTCTATGGGAGGCGACACCCAAGACTGCTGGGTGCTGGCAGTGAGGCTTCTTGCAAACTGCTCCAGAGGGGCCCTTAGCCCTACCCCTTCCCCATAGGGTGGCTATGAATTTAATTGGGGAACACCGGAAGAGCCAGATGTCAGAAACCCTGCTGCTTCCTGTCCCACTCACCCTCTGTCTCAAAATTTTGGGAAGAACTAGGCAGGACTGAGGTGAGGGGGAGGGAAGACCTAGACATGGCCAGGAAGCCTCTGTCAACTGCATTTGGTGCTCGGACAAGTGAATTTCGCAGAGGTGATCTCTACCCACCTGTCAGGACTTTGCATGTGGGGGCAGAGGCATCAACCCAGCAAGACGCCTAGTAGCCTGGCAAGTTCCGAGCAAAACGTTAAACACGGGCATGAAAGGAAAGGAGCTGCTCACTGTCCAGGAGGGCGGAAGTAGAGTCCTCCAAGGAGGCATCACTGCCTCCTGGATCCAGTCCAGCAAGGCATCCCAGAGGCAAGGGGACCTGCTGTGGCTTCCCACGACCCTGCCGTCACACTGAGGCACCTTGTGTCCCTGAGCAGAGTTACATGCTCCAAGACTCCCTGGAGCACGTGCAGCTGTTTGACCTGATGAGGAGGATGTTAGAATTTGACCCTGCCCAGCGCATCACACTGGCCGAGGCCCTGCTGCATCCCTTCTTTGCTGGCCTGACCCCCGAGGAGCGGTCCTTCCACACCAGCCGCAACCCAAGCAGATGACAGGCGCAGGCCACCGCATGAGGAGATGGAGGGCGGGACTGGGCCGCCCAGCCCCTTGACTCCAGCCTTGACCACCAGGCCCCAGGCCAGAGCCACCCAATGAACAGTGCAATGTGAAGGAAGGCAGGAGCCTGCAGGGGAGCAGACTTGGTGCCCAGCTGCCAGAAAGCACAGATTTGACCCAAGCTATTTATATGTTGTAAAGTTATAATAAAGTGTTTCTTACTGTTTGTAACCCCTGGTACCAGTGTGTCCATCTCCAGGCTCCTTGCCTTCCCCTCCCCTGACCTTACTAATAAAGTCTTTCTTAGCACTTCAGCTTGTGGAGAGCTAAGTGTGAACTGGGCCAGGCACAGAAGAGCTAGGCAGGGGTAAGCCCAGAAGCGGGGACGTCCTCTGGGCCCTGTCTGTCTGCTGAGCAGTCCTAGATGGCACCTCTGCCCTCCTGGCTGCTGTACCTCTCAGCCCCAAAGAACCTACGGGACTCTGCCCACTGTGGCTAGCCAGGTGAGGTCTGGTTTTCCGTAGCCTGCCAGCCCCATGACTGACCGGGACTTGAGGCTGTATGTGCCCAACAACTATGGTCTGCTGAGGGCAGGAGGCAAGTGGGGCGGGCTCCTAGGCTGGGGTAGGCAGCACCTTACGACAAAAACAATTCACACGGCACAGGACTCAGTCATTCAGCTTTATTTCAGTGCTGGTTTTTGGTTCCCTAAGAGCTGCATGAGTGCTAGGCTTCACCACGTGACTGGGGGCTCCTTGGGAACTGGGTACTATAGGCAGGATGCCCCTGAAAAGAACTGAAGACAGGAATCATACTTTAATACCTCTGTGGAAGGCCCAGGCTGAGGATGAGGGAAGGGACAAGTCCCAATGCCCCCTGGGGAGAGAGGAGTGAGAAGCTTGGGTACAAACTCCCAGTGGCCCCTTAAGGCTGGCATCCCTGGATCTTGCTGGAGAGAGCAGTCTCCTGGGCCAGGGTTGTTCTAGCTTGTTTCTCACTGTTCCTACTCGGGAGGCCTAACTGTATTAACAGGCAGCCAGAACCTGCCTATGCCTGCAACCTAGACTGCGCCTCATATTGTGGCCCTGCCTCTAAAGAGAGGGCCCCAGCCTGGGGGCTGCTTGGCCCCAGGAGTGAGAAGAGGCTCAAATACACAGCATGAGGCTTATAGTGCCCTGGCCTCTTCCCACCACTGGAGACAATTTAACACTCATGGGAAGATAAGAGGAGGGGCCAGCCCTCTACCCTGGCTCATCTGCTTCTGGCTGTGCTCCTACAAGAAAAGTGATAGCAGCCTGAAACCTATGGCACCAGGGCCTACCCTGTGTCCACAATCCTTGGTGAGCCCCTGTCCACCCATCCACCTGCTCAGCCACTCTGGGCAAACACAGCAGAAGCCCAAAGCCCCAAAGCAGGCTTAAGCACAAGTCCTTGGCCGGGATCCCTGCCAGGGTTCCAGGCATAGCTCCTGTTCCACCAGCCTCCAGGGCCTAGGCCTGGGAAGGCCCTGGGGCTCAGCGCCTTAGGATCTGAAGTTCCTATGGTTGGACCCCACACCAGCTAGCTCATCCAGAACTGGCCTCATTTTGCCATCTTTGAGACAGGGTGCTGGCCTCAAGCCTACCCATCTGGACTGGACAACTGTAAAGGGTTCAAAGCCCAGATGTTTTAAGAGCCAGGTGGAGTCCAAGCAAGGGAGCCCATGCACCCTGCTCTGGGAATGATAGCTGCAAAGGACCATTTCAGAGGAAGGGCAGAGGGGACGAAAGAGTAGGTGGAGCATGTATGTGCAGGCAAAGGGGTGGGGGAGTGGTAGCCTAGAACAGAAGCACCAGGAAGCCTCTTCTGGCTCAGCACCAGGCTCCCCCAGGGATATCCCCATCTGAAGGGTCTGGCCCCAGACTAGGCAAAGTCTTGGCCTGCTCAGCTTTGGGGGTGGGGGCGGGCACTGCTGGCAAGATGGGCACTGTGGTTCTACAGTAATATAACCTTATACTACCTGTGCTGAAGACGACAGAACAACATAAAATCCCAACACAGAAACACCATCCTAATGCCGTCCCTTCCCTACCTCTGAGTGATGGAGGGGAAAGGAGGGAGGAATCCTTGGAAAAATCAGCATAAAACTTGTATCAGCTCAGGAGAAAGGGTCAGAAGCCCCCAAATCAACTTCTGATGTAGGTAAGGGAAGGCCTGGTCTGTCACAGACCTGGAAATGAATGGAGAGCGCAGGTCTGCCCTCTGGTGGACAGCTGCCGCGCAGCTGGTTCTGCGTGATTAGAGGAAGGGCTGTCTGCGTGGGGAAAGCAGGGGAGACACAAAGCCACAAGCTCTGAAATAAGAGCCGGTACAGGCCCCCAGACAGGACCTGGCCCACTCCTCAATGTGTGTGCCCAGGCCCAGTGGCTGTAAACCTGAAACACAGTCTGAGAGCTGCCTACGTCTGTAAACAAAGGCCCGCCTGGCGTGCAGGGGGCTGAGGGTAGAGATGCCCTGGAGGGGCTGCACACTCAGCCCGCCGCGTGCCCGGAACCCAGTGGGAAAGACTTCCCTGGCTCAGGGCAAGTGACAGGTCAGTTTTAAGTAAGTTCTGTTCTCTCACAGAAGAATCAAACCCAAGAGAGAAAAACTTTTAACAACAAGGTCCGTGAAGCTTCAAATCCTTAAGGCGTTTGTCCTCAGGAACAGCAGGGGACAGCAGAGTCCTGCCTGTGCAGGAACCCTCTAGGCAGAGTGCAGTGGGATGACAAACTTGCAGCCAAAGGGCGAGTGGTAGTTGATGCCCACCTCCTGGAAGACCTGCTGGGGAATGCCAATGTCACACAGATAGATACGGCCTGCGTGCTCCCCCAGTGGCAGAGGCAGGCCCAGTGCCAGTGACCATTTGGCATCAATGCCCTGTTCAACTTCATGCACCGGAGGGTCTATGCTGAGTACTGGTGCCCGGTTCTGGTTGGCCCAAGCCACAGCTGCCTTGTACCAGGGCTGATCCCGCAGGAAGACGTTCTCGGGGCAATCCAGGCAGTTGATGACCAAGTCCACAGGGCTAGTGGGCAGATCTGCAGGTGAAAAGAAAGCCATCTGAAAATCCCTGTAAGCAGAGAGCAGCCCCCGGTTGGGACTAGGGCCCAGGTCACCCCAAGGATGTCTGTTTTCCAGACACCACTCTGATGCCTGTCCACAGGCTGGCCTTCTTAAAGCTGGGCCAGGGCACTGCCCTAGGAGTTGCCAGGCCTGGCTGGGCTGAGTGCTAGAGACCAAATGCATGTCAGCCCAGCAGACAACTGCCCTCCTGGAGTTCTCAGGATGAACCATGGTCCTGCTGAGTGTGCGGAGCTTCTCAGGGTACAAAGCCCTCACCTCCTCTGCCTTCTCAGGCACACCTCTGTATATCCAGGGCCTGAGTTTGGGCTTCCCTGTGATGGCCAACTTGACAGTGGACTCTGCCTTCCCGGAGTTCATGAGGCGCCCGGGGCTGGCCTACTCCTTCTACTCTAGCAAGCCTGTCCTCTCCGGCCCTCTCATTATCTCATAGGAATGGGTCCGCCACTCAGCCAGCCTTAATTAAGAATTAAGAGGGTACCTATTACTGTTCTCCCAGGCTCCTCTGCTCTAACCAGGCTTCTGGGACAGTACTGGAAAAGGATGTCTCAACAAGTATGTAGATCCTGTACTGGCCTTAGAGGTTAAACTGAGAATAGCAGAAATCAGACCAAACTTAATGGTCATTCTCAGACTTGTGTCCTGGAGCAGATGGGATAGAAAACCTTTGGAGCAGCCAGAGGAAGAACTGCCTGGAAGGGGGCATCATGTTAAAGATTTCAAGAAGGGGAACCCACACCAGGCCCCCTTCCCAGCTCCAGCCTAGAATAATGGCATTTCTTAGCTAGAGACTCACAGCTTTCCTGCTTAGAATGTGCCACCATGGGGAGTCCCTGTGGGCCATGAGGCTCTCAAGAGTGAGAGTGGCATCCTAACCTCTGTGTGCCCACAGGAGCCTGGCCCAAGACTCAGGAGGCAAAGGTTCTGGTCCAGGCTTTGCTGCTGACGCACTATGTGACCACAGTGAAGCCCTGTCTCTGGGCCACATTTGCTCTCTCCAATTCTTCCTGACGTTCTCACTTAAACCCACTGCAGTCAGACTGTCCCACCACTCCACTCCAGACTACACTCACCAGGGGCCTCCACGCTGCCACATCAGTGGTTGATTCTGTCTTCCTTTGACCTTAACCTAGAGTGGGGCTTGTTGACGCAGCTGATCACATGCTCCTTTCCTCACTTGGCATTCAGCTGCCACTCTCTCCTGGTTTTCTTCCTCACTCACCATTCCTGCCTGCTTCATCTCCTTGGTTATGTTCTTTACTCCCCGACTTCTAAATAAAGAGCTCAGTTTTCCAACTTCTGTATCTACTCTCTTCCTATGTGACAGCATATTCAGGCTCATCATGGCTTAAATACTCCCTATGGCTTCTAACTCTAGGCTGAATCCTTTCACTTCAGATTCATGTAACTCCTTCCCTGTGCACATTTCCACCTGCATATCCAATAGGTGTCTCTTCCGGAGCTTCTCTGTTCCTCCCCAAACCTTCTCCATCACGTTTTCCCATCTCAGTGATCACACCTCAGTTACTCAGGCCAAAAACCTTGGAGCCATTCCCAACTCTTCTCTTTCTCCCACCCCTCATCCATCCAATCTGTGGATTCTATCTCCAAAACTGACTTAGAAATGAACCACTTTCACCGCCTCCGCCACTGCCACCCTGTCTCAGCCACC